TTTCTTGAGACTATGGGTCAGTCATCACCTCAGTGCCCTGAGTCCTCTGTATCAATCCTTTGGCTTCCTTTTGATACCAGGCCACTTAGCCTTTGAACTTAATGACTTCTCCTGCCTAGGCCAGTGCACCATTCTCTTAAACTAGTAAGTTTTAAGAGGTGGCTCTGCCTTCTTCAAGCTCAAGTCTCTGGCTAGACCACTTCCCTAGAGTGCTAGGCAGAGCTACTTAGTTCTTAGCCCTGTCCCCACCCCTCCCCAGCAGTTAACCTTAAGTGACTGCATCTCCACCCATCCTTTGGCCTACAGTCTGGTTTCTCTAATCTGCTCCCTACTCAGGCTGTGCTCACTTGCAGCTAGAGGAAGTCTCTAAAGCAAACAGGAAGCACCAGAGACACCCACCAGCTGGAATTGGTAGACCTTTTACCAGGAAGGACAGCAGTGTGAAGTCAGGGTATGGAGTAGAGAAAAGAAGCGTGAACATTTCTCACAGGGACTGAGGAGGGATGACAATGGCCTGGGCTTCTTCCCTTTTGTGTGTGCTACTGGGACAAGACATACTAAATAAGGTGTCCCTAAGTCCTTCCACATGTTCCCCTTTCCATGAGAGGCATGAAGTTGGGGCTGGTGCTCATTCGTGGTGTTCTGTAAATGAACCAGGATTCTTATTGGAGGGTTAGGAAGTGGGTCTTGAGGGAATCCTTTGTCATGGGCCTGAACTTTCACCATTGTCAAACATTGGGGGTGGGGGTGGGGGAGATTCTTAACTCATCCTGTCTCCTTCAGGCAACTTTGATAGTGACTGGCATTTAAGGATTTGATTTTTTTACTCTAAACAACTTAAAATTATTCTTCTGCTTAATTTAAAATGTGGAAAATTTTTGCTACTAGTTCAAGAGGAAAGAGTCCTTGTACACATACACATACATGTTCACCACACATGCATACACATATACTATGCACATGTGTAAAATTAATTAATATAAATGTTAATAATTAATTAATCTGGCAGCTGTATTTCTTTACCTTTGCTAGTCTTCAAAAACTGTACAGAGAAACCAAGATTAATTTCAAGCTATATTTCAGTAGCTGGGCAGTATTGATTTATAATAACTCCTGTGCAAATCTGGCTACCCACCAGCCATGATCCTAGTTAATACTTGCAGTTTAATATTGTTCTGGTTCTCTCTGCTTTAGATGTTTCTTCCAGTGGTGTCTTCTCAGACCCCTTCCTTCTCTCCCAAGACTCCAGAACTCTCTCTTCCCTCTCTCTTCCCTTGGCTTGTGGAAGCTTCTGCCTTATTATCTCTTTTGCCTAACTGTTGGGTGATCAGCATTTATTGACAGGGCAGAGAATAAATTGTAAGAATTGTTTACACAAATTTGAGACAGATTCTGGACCTAAGCATTACAGTGCAGTGTCTGTATTGAAACAAGATATGAGAACAGAGAAATTAGCGTTTGAACAATACAAGGGTAACCTTTACACGGTGCACAAAAACATTATGCCTATATATACACAAATACAACACATACACTACATACACCCATACACATACACCATGCATACATATATATACACATCACACATACCTACATAACATACGTATACATGCACCATACATATACCACATACGTACACACCACATGCATATATACATATAACATATGCACATGTAGAGAGAATATCTTGTATATTATATGGATGTATCATCTGTCAATTAAAAAACCTATGGCCTATAGGAAAGGATAGACTAGAAGGTAGGGCATCCAATAGGCAGAAAGAATTCTGGGCTAGAGCCTGGCATGCGAAGAGTCACCAGAGAAGATGTGAGGAGGACAGATACTTGGTAATTGAGTAGAGGTAACCAGGTATGTGGCAGAATGTAGATTAGTATGAATGGGTTATTTTAAATTATTAGCTATATGGGCTAGATATTTGTAAATATATTTTGAGTCTTGAGTTGTTATCCCGAAAATAGCCTGTTACACATACATACACATACAGTACACATACATATACATACACCATACCCACATAGACCACGCATGCATATACATATGCCACACACACAAGGCTACACACACATATTCATACATATGCCATACACATACACACATACACCACACATATGCCACACACACTCATACCAGAAGATGGGACAGCTCAGTACATGAATTAATTCACTTTTACCACCCATCAGGAGTATATCTTCTGGTTTATTAGCCTTGGGAGTAGAAGGTGTAAGCCTTCCTGGGAACCTGGGTGTGGCCTTCACCTGTTTCAGACATGCTCTTATCGCCGCATTACTTCATGACAAAAATTGTCTTGCTTAGTGCTTTATTGGCTGAAAAGGTCAGACACTTCTGCTCATGTGATTCCTTCTTGGGGCCAGGAAAGCCTTGAGGCAGCAGACCATAAAAAGTGAGCACCTGCTCAGGGGTTTCTGGAGGCAGGGCCAGGGATAAGGAAGGACCTTTCAGCAGCCAGTTTAGGCCAGCTGGGTAGAACTTGCTTAGTGTAGTAGCAAGGCCAGGTCCTGCTTACCAGCCTGTGGAGAAGGTGCTGCACTCCACGCAGACACTGGCGTTAACCCTAATGCACTACTTGTCCTAGTCTGACTTAGCTTAAGTGGCTTGTGTGAGGGAACCCAGGAATGGAGTGAGACAGTCACACTCATGGCACCCCAAGCTGGGCTTTGTTTGCTTCATGCTACCTAGCCCTGTTTGTATTTCAGTGGTACTTGTAGATAGTTAGCTGGCTCTGTTCTGAGCCTGGATGAGCACTCCTGGCCAGCCTCACAGATGGCTTCAACATACAGATTAGGTTGAGAATTGTTGGTGAGAACTCATTTTCTCCCTTTCTGGCTTTAAAAAAAGAAAGAAAGGAAGGAAGGAAGGAAGGAAGGAAGGAAAGAAAGAATGAATAATGAGAAGAAGCAGATCGTATTCTGTCTGGGCAGGCGTACAGGGCTGTGGGTTTGATAGGGACGACACTTGGCTGCCTCTGTTGATCTAGGCTTGTAGATGAGGGAAGGTTGCTGCCAATGCCAGTAGTTGTCTCTCTTCTACAACTGCTGTGGTTTCTTACAGCCAGGGTTTTGCTTGTCTGTTCCCTTGCCCCACTCCTTCCTACTTCTCTTGTGCTTGAGCTGAAGTCTCTGCCCTGTGTCATGTGCACTCCGGGTAATCACCAACTTGTAAATTCCATTGTGTACCAGGGTCACTTTTGCCAGGTCCGGACCTTGCTGAGCCAGCGGAACTGCTGCAGCCACTTAAAACCAAACACCAAGGGTGGGCGTGGCCCTCCTTGTTCTTCCACAGCAGGAGAACAGCTTGATAACAAATGAGCTTGTGGGTAGGAACCCAAGTTGCACCCTGGCTCTGTCCCTTGTATAATGAATGGCCTTGACTCAGGCACTTCATAATGTCAAGTAATATCTATAAAAATGGAAGGTCATGTTAAAGCTCAAAAGAGATAATAGTGCAGTTCTCACTCCTTGAGTGCTAGCTCTGTCTTTCAGAATGCTTTCCTGAGGTAAACACTCTGAATTCCTAGGACATGCATGGGCATTGTGAGGAAGCTCTCCCGATGAAACTCTACAGGTCTTGTCTTTCCTGTCTAGGATGAATGAGAAAGCATCTTACCTATGGCATGTCTAAAGTGACATTTCTGGTTAGTAATCATATTGAAGGCTGCCCCCTCCCCCGACTTCCTTCCTTGTACTTTTGGGGAAGAGGTGGCCCCCATTTCAAAGCTCTTTTCCTTTGGTGCTGCCCAGAAAGGAAACTGTTGCTCCTGGTTAATGAGTCATTCTTCCTGAAGCTCACTTTTTAAATGAGTAGTTGCTGGGAGATTCTGGATGTGCAAAAGGATTTGAGGCCAAACAAAGCAGGCTCTTTGCTGTCAGCTTCTTGGAGGGGCACAGAGCTTCCCACAGGCCTCTGTTCACCACGCTCCTGTCCCTGGACTGTAGGGGATACACTCCTTCTGTTGAGGGGCAGGTCAACTCTCCGTATGTGTGCTCTACTATCTTTTGGTATATATCTTCTAGGGCTTCTCATCCTTCTATGCAGTTTGGAAGCTTCCAAAAAATTTGAGTTTCTGAAGAGGAGTGGTAAACTCAGGACTGGACCACCAGCTGCTAGGGGTGCAGGTCTCAGTGTCATGTTTGCCTCCACCCCTGCCCTCCCCCTAAGCTGTCTTTGTGTCACCCCTGCCTCTGCCAGTAGAGACTAGAGGCTAGGTCTCTATTTAAAAGGGAGAGCTGGCAGCAGAGACTAGGGGCAGAGCTCTGGCCTCAGAGCATGTTTGGTTTCTGTGCAGTTTGTTTTTTAATGTGTGTGAAACTTCAGGCCTATCCAAACGGAGAAGACTGAGGGATAAGTCGGGAAGAGCAAGGGAGCGGCGTTGCTTTGATTCTGACACACAGTCCAGCCTCAGAAAGCCAAGAGAGTCAGTTGTTCTACTGTGTGGTACAAGCCTGGTCATTCTGATAACAACTGCAACTGGCCAGGCCTTGGTCTCTGAGTGCCCATAAGTACCTTATCTGAGGAGCTGGCTGCCAGGACCTGCTGTGCCTTCACCCACCTCCCCACACACTGCTTCTTCACAGAGTAGGCTGTGAGCATTAGACTACAATCTGTTTGATGACCTAAATCCTAGTTGTCTTCCTGGGCCCTTTTTTGGAGGGGAGAAGGTGGAGCCCAGTGAGCCTGTTGACTCATGCTGGTGTTCATTCCTCTCCTGGATTTTCTAAATGAATTCATGTTTTTGAGAGTGGGAAGTCAGAGTTTTTGCTCAGGACCCATGAGCCTAATGGGAAGCCACTTTGCTTCATATCACTCTGCAGGAGAGAATGTAGTTCAGTCTAGAGAAGACTTCCTGTTCAACCCTGTGGAAAGGGCTGGAAGTTTAGGGGCAAGAGCAGTTACGCAGGTCATCAGGGATGGCACCTTTGACAGTCTCATTCTAATTCCCTACTTCTGATTTCTCCCTGCAGTTGGAGGCCTCCCTTCCCATTAAGTGCCTCTTTGCATAGCACCAGCCCCACCCCCACGCTCACTGGTACTACTACAGAGCAGAGCGCACCATGGCGGGTCGAGGAGGTGCAGCACGACCCAATGGACCAGCTGCTGGCAACAAGATCTGTCAGTTTAAGCTAGTCCTCTTGGGCGAGTCTGCAGTGGGCAAATCCAGCCTGGTCCTCCGCTTTGTCAAGGGGCAGTTCCACGAGTACCAGGAGAGCACAATTGGAGGTGAGTGAGCAAAGGGAGTCGGGAGACCAGAGGTGTCTGGAGGAAAGCTGCCCATGCAGAAACTGGATCTCTTTGGCCTGGGAACACCTTTTTGTCAGTGGGCCCTGGAGTTGAATCCAGCAGTCAGTCTTCATGCTTTATTCCAAAAAGCAAGAGTGCTAAGAATGACCTAGAGATTGAAAACTGGCTTCTTGCTCTGGTCTGGCCTCTTTATTATTTGTGTGGATATGAGGCCTTTTTTTCCCTGCAGGGCAGTATGTGTGTCCTGTCCTCTGTTGCTGACCTTTGTTCTTTCTGGAGCTCAGAAGGTATCTTTGATTCCCCATTGGTCAGCATTTAGGATGTGAATAAGGGTCTGGACTCAGTGTTTCACATCCATAGTCAATGTGAACCTCAAGGGGCCAGGGCCTCCCTTGGACTTGAGTCATCCTTCTCTGCTCTCTTGGTTGGTAGGAGATTTCCAGGCAGCTGGAAACAGAATGGGCCATGTCAGCAGTCTTCTCACTGCCTCCTCAGCTCTGTCAGGAGCGAGAGAGGGGGAAGTGAGTTGGCAGCCCAGGCTCCTCAGTGGGCTGGGGAGGAGGGGAGTGGCAACAAAGAAGACAGCTTCCCACAGAACTGTCATAATCCTCTACTGGGTCCAGGGTATGGGAACCCTACCTGTTTACCTGTCTGTCCCAGCTCCAACATTCTCCTTCAAAGCATGTTTGCCTCAGCCTCTCATATCCATAGTCAATGTGAACCTCAAGAGGCCAGGGCCATTTTTTGACTTGGTCTTCCTTCTCTGATCTCTTGGTTGGTAGGAGATTTCTAGGCAGCATTGTTCCTGTCTCAGGTGGCATCTGTATTCAAACCACAGGCTGCCCATACAAGAACAATTCTGGGTCACAGGGGATGGTGGCTAGCTGGAGTGCCTGGAGGTGGCAGGGGTGGTTGGGAAGCCAGCCACCCAGCCACAGCCTGGCAGCATGACAGTGTATATTTCCCAGAGAGAATGCCTTCCCGAAACTGAAGGTCACAGTCACCCCTGAACTGAAATGGGTCTGTGAAGGGCAGCAGAAGGAAGGCTAGGGAGAATAAGGGCTTACCTTTTCAGGCTTGGCATCAAGGTTCCCCTTGCCTCCCTTATCTGGCCCCTGCTGTGCTTTGCAGGGTAGTTCTGAAATGGCTCAAGTGCAGGCACTTCCCAGACAACACACAGGAGCACAAGCCCCACCTGCCCTGTGTGGACAGGCTCCTACATGCCAGAAGCAACAACAGAGTAAGTCAGGGTGGTTTCCAGTTCTTCCTTGCCTAATGACATTGCCTCTTCTCTTGCAGCGGCTTTCCTCACACAGACTGTCTGCTTAGACGATACAACGGTCAAGTTTGAGATCTGGGACACGGCTGGGCAAGAGCGTTATCACAGCCTGGCCCCAATGTACTATCGAGGGGCCCAAGCAGCCATTGTGGTCTATGACATCACCAACACAGTAAAGACTTTCCTTCTTTTTTCTTTGCCCTTTATTTCTGTAAATCTCCAAGAACTGGGTTATAAAAACTTCATTTTGGGGGCTGGAGAAATGGCTCAGCAGTTAAGAGTACTGACTGTTTTTCCAGAGGTCCTGAGTTCAATTCCAGCAACCACATGGTGGCTCACAACCATCTGTAATGGGATCTGATGCCCTCTTCTGGAGTGTCTGAAAATAGCAACAGTGATTTGCTAGCAACACCTAGATGAAATAAATCTTAAACAAATGAACAAAAAAACCTCATTTCAGACCACTCATCCTTCTGTTCCGGGGTGGTATATGGGCAGATTTCATGTTGACTGGGGTGCTCTCTTGAGGATCCTTAGGGGTGATGTTTCAGAAGCCTATGGCTATGCCAGTTTGCATTTGCCTGAGTAACCCTGAGTAGAATATTTCCTCTGTCCCTTTGATATTCTGACCCTGTCTCCTCAGGATACATTTGCACGGGCTAAGAATTGGGTGAAGGAGTTACAGAGGCAGGCCAGCCCCAACATCGTCATTGCACTAGCGGGTAACAAAGCAGACCTGGCCAGCAAGAGAGCCGTGGAGTTTCAGGTAAGATGACAGAACTTGGAGAAGGGTGAAGTGACTCTGAGGGAAGCCTCCCCAGGCTGCCTGGGCCCTGGAAGGTAGCAGGCAGTGGCAGCTCTCATATACTGCCTTCTCAGGACTCAAGCACAGGCCATAATGCAGTTGTTTTTGTGTTGGGAGAGGTGGGTGGATAGGTAATGAATGCATCTGCATGGTTGCTTTGTAAGCCAAATGGACTGAAACAGTACTTTTTCAGACAATGCATGCATGCATGTAGTAAACTTTGAGTACCCCAACAAGGCATAGAGAATGCGTTCAGTCTCTTTAATCCTAGAAACTCAGTCTCTTTTATCCAGAATTCCCAGGGCTGGGTTTTTCTAAAAATGTACCTATTTTTCTTTACGTAATGGATGAGATACGTAATGGATGAGATACGGTGTGTACCACATGTGCTGTATGTTCCAGTGTCATATGTTTGTAGCGGTGGGGAGCAGGAAGTATCTGATGGAGTATGTAGCCCAGGCTGCTGGCCTTGAACTCCTGAACCTCTTGTTTCTCCTGAGGTTCCAGTCATGAGCCTCCACTGCTCTGCAGTTCATCTTTTGCCAGTTCCTAACTTGATGGCCTCCTGGGTTGTCATAACCGATGAGGACTAGAACCAGTGCTGCGGTGGCATCCACATGTTCTTATGCTTTTGTCCAGATGTGCAAGTATATGTGCAGGGTATCTCTCCAGAAGGAGTCTTTGCCTAGCAAGTAGGCAGAGAGGACCTAGGGAAGCTATTGAATAAGAATCTACCAATATTTGTGAACTGAGAAGTGTAGCGGGCTGGAGAGATGGCTCAGTGGTTAAGAGCACTGACTGCACTTCCAGAGGTCCTGAGTTCAAATCCCAGCAACCACATGGTGGCTCACAACCATCTGTAATGAGATCTGATGCCCTCTTCTGGTGTGTCTGAAGACAGCTATAGTGTATTCATAAATAATAAATAAATAAATCTTTATAAAAAAAAAAAAAAAAGAGAGAAGTGTAGCATGTTAGTGGAGGGTAGATGACGCTGGTGTTTTGGGGATACCCAGAACAGGGGAGCCCTAAGCCTGAAACCCCTGCGTTTGCCCAGTCAGTCTCTTAATTTATAAGGACAGAGACCCGGGAAGATTTTATCCTGGGTCTTAGCCCCTGCCATCTGCCAACGTTCCCTTCCCAACCTCTTCCTCACATACCTGAATCAGGAAGCACAAGCCTACGCAGATGACAACAGCTTGCTGTTCATGGAGACGTCCGCGAAGACTGCAATGAATGTGAATGAAATTTTCATGGCAATAGGTAAATTGCCTCTCCGTGCCCTTCCCCTGAGCAGAGCAGAACCCTGTGTGCTGGTCTCTAGTGGGTCTGTGGGATATCTTCCCTAACATAATCTTCACCATTAAACTGACAAAATTGGGCTGAAGAGATGGCTCAGCAGTTAAGATCACTGGCTGCTCTTCCAGAAGTCATGAGTTCAATTCCCAGCAACCACATGGTGGCTCACAACCATCTATAATTGGATCCGATGCCATCTTCTGGTGTGTCAGTCACAGTGTGCTCATATACATAAAATAAATAAAAATTTTTAAAAATAAAATAAACTAATAAGATTGTCTAGCTGACTCCCAGATGCAGAACTTTCTAATGGCTGGACCAGTCTCAGTGTTATACTCCCTGCCATGTCAGAGCCTTCCATCGCCATCTCTCCCCCATGGGACTTTAGCTCATTTGCCTCAGGAATCCTTCTATTAGTTCAAATCCTGGTAATGCCGATTGTCACTCTGGTTTTGGGCAAGTTCTCTGCTTCAGTTTCTAGAGACACACAATATACCTGGCACACAAGCCCTCCAGTATTCTGGTTGTCACTGATTAAGGGAGAGTATTAGGGTGACCCCAAGATACATTTCCCCTTCTCTCCCAAACAGCTAAGAAGCTTCCTAAGAATGAGCCCCAGAATGCAGCTGGTGCTCCAGGCCGAAACAGAGGTGTGGATCTGCAGGAGAGCAACCCAGCCAGCCGGAGCCAGTGCTGCAGCAACTGAGCCCCCTTGCCTGCCACTGCCCCCACTCCTCCACCAGGACGACCCGACTGGAATCTACTCTAACCAATCGCACTTAACAACTCGGGCCACCACTGGGGGCAGGGGAAGGGTCCATCATGAATTCTCCGCATAACTTTGATCCTAGGCCGGAGGGAGTTATTCCACCTGCACCTTTCTGTACAAATACTAATTCAATTTTAAGTCTTAAGTCACTTTTTTAATATATATGATCTTCTTCTCTTCCCAGTTCCCTTTCTACTGCTCCCCCACTTGCCCTTTGCTGGTAGTAGCCATGCTCCTGTGCTCCTCATCTGTGGGGACAGGGCTTGGAGCAGTTACCCTTTCTTTCCTTCTTGCTGGAGAGCATACTCAGCAAGAGCACCCACATCTTACCTTGCTGGGAGCAGTCTTAGGCTGGGGCAGTGGGCAGGCCCTGGGCTGGGGAAGGGACAGGCAGCTCTTTCCTCAGCTGGCTGTCAATCAGGCTGCAGCCCCCTCCCCATCTGGCTCCCAGCTGGGAGAGAAACCGCAGCATTACTTAAGCATCATTTGTGACAGCCACACACCCATGGCCCAGGACCCCTCCACCCTTGGTCACTCTGACCTCTGGCTCTGAGCCCTGTTCTGACCAAATCACGATGATGAGTATTTGGGGGTGGGTGGGTAAGGGGGGGAGTGGGAGGGATGGAACCAACTTTTTCTGTATTTTGTATTGTATGTTTTCTTCAACATGTAACCAATCAGTATCTTGTCAATATAGTCAGCCGATCGATCGACCTCACACTTGTCTTCCTCGTCTTTCTCTGGCAGCTTATCAGGCCATACATATCCTCTCTCTTTTTCCTGAAGTTAATTTAAAATGAATCATCCAATCTGATTAAATGGCTCTACTCCCTGTGTGTGAGAGGATGCTGGTGGTCATGGTAACCAAAAGAAAGAGGGCCTGCTGTTGGCAATTCTGATGGTGGAAGAGGATAGGACTGACCTGGGGCTGACACCTGGCTCTCCACAGTTTACATTAAAGGATATACAACCTGTATTTGAAGATTGTTGGTATCTGAAGTGACCTGTGAGGGATTTTTGATAGGACTGCTTTAGGACTGAGACCCATATTTTTGTCCTCTCCCTGACAAGGAATACTGAGGACTAGGTGTAAGGCCAGTGGTACAGCCCATCACTACCTCTGTCCTTCCTGACACCCTCATGCCAGGTTCAACACTGTCCATCCTGGTTCAGAACCATCTGCTGATTCTGGACACTGGCAACAGCTCATCTCAGCTCTCTGCTGCTCCCTGCTGGAGCTGTTGCTATTGACTAAATCCACACACACCTCCAGTTTATCTCAGGGCCGGAAGCTTGGTTATTGCTGTACTTAATACCATCTTGAGATGCCTCCCCTGGTCACCCCACTCCCTACAGCTCCAGCCCTTCACCCTCAAGAAAAACGCAGAAGGACTTCAAAGCTGTTGCACACCTCGGTTTAATACATTAGGGTAGGTTGGGGCGCCTAGGGCCTCCTCTCCTGAGACTTAGGGCCTGGCCTGTTTGGGCTTCAGGGGTAGGTAACTTGTTTCCAACTCTTCACCCTCAGAAAGAACGCTGCGGGACTTTAAGGCTGCTGCACACCTCCGTTGTTAGGGTGGGTTTGTTTGGAGCCCTTAGGGCCTCCCCTCCTGAGTCTCAGGGACTGGCCAGTTTGGGTTTCAGCGGGAGGTAGGCACTTGTTTTGTCCCCTGAGCCACAGATGGCCAGAGGGGGTCAGGCTGCAGGTCATGGCTGCTGTATCTAAGGTCGGCGGGAGCTGCATTTGTCGGTGCACACTCTGCTCCATGCGGTAGCGGCCCCTGGACGGGTCATTCGACTCCTGTTGCCGCTGGCCGGTCACCGTCAGGTTCTGTCCATCTATCCGCACCACCAAGTCCTCCGGAGCGAAACCTTGGGCATCCACCTTCATCTGGAAACTTGGTTCCTCACAGCCATTGCCCTGCGCGGCAGCCAAATCATCCTTGAGCAGCCTCACTGGTAGTGTGGCCACTTGACTTCGTTCAGCAAGGGCCACGCTGGGACATCGGGAAGCCACCCGGTTTTCTGTGGGTTCCCGCTGCCCGGTGGAGAAACTGCTCCCTACCCGCTGCATCCGAGAGTGCAACTGCTGCCTGACGGCGCGAGGGCTCCCAACCCCGCCCCCCCAATCGGGGCGGGTGCGAAGAGGAAGGGCCCGGGCCCGCCCACTCTTCCCATCCAGAGGGGCAAACGCCCAAGTCCCCTCTGTCTTCCTTGCAAGCTGTGCTGCGTTTGTCCAGAACCTGCTTCTCCCTGGGTCCTTCTCTTACATCAGAGGGCAGGAGGCTGTGAAGCAACTGGAGCACCTGAATGTAGGGGATTACAACTCCATCCCTGATGGGATTGAGCAACCGGGTTGAAGAGGTCTGGCTTGCTCTGCCCTACCCTGCCCTGCCCTACCCTGCCCTCTTAAGAATTGAGCCTGGGGCAAGGAAATTTGTTCCCTGGATTGACCCAAAAGAGGGGTCCTTCCTGATCTTCCAGGAAGAACTCTCTCCCTGACCTTTCACAGTCCTGAACTAATATATTGGGAAGAAACTGGATATTTCTCTGGCTTTTTTTTTTGTGACCCCCCCCACACACACACACTAATGGGTAAGCAGGGAAAAGATGGAGATAGACAGGATGGGAGGGAATGAGATCAGGAATCTTCGTTCCAGCTTTAAGGCTGGCTAGGCAAGCCATAAATAAGTGGGAACCACTCTCTACCCTCTGTATCTGCAGTGTTGGGCTGGCACTGTCTCTCTGGTTCTTTAGTTCTCAGCCTCCCTCCAACCCCCATCTCCTGCCCACCCCCAACACACACATGAATGCCTGCACACGAACACACATTCATCAGCATGGCCCACAACTATGTCTCTTTGTTCTTTTGAAAATAAAACCGTTTAACAGCGACCTAAGTACAGAAAAGGCTGTCAAAGTTAATATGTGTGAACACCACACAGTACAAAATGTAGAATTAATGTTACATTTCATCTCTATTGTGGCTGCAAACCTTAGTTCGCAGCCACAGTGGGGCAGGCTTTTGCAATGTGGGAGCCAACTCCAGGTTCAGGCCTGTTCTTCCACCTATGGACTTTAAAAGGACAGCATCCACAAATCCTCCAGACTGCCAGTGTTCTGGGGTGTCTCTTGTCCCAAAAGGATAGTAATTACCACTATCCCGGATGGCTTAAAAAAAAAAAAACTAGAATGAAGTAGTGGTCAACCTAGGATGCTTAATCAAGCGACATTTGATTGTCTGGAACCAAGAAAAAAGAAAAGTCTGGAAGGCCAAAGGATGGGAAGCGGCAAAGGAAGACTACGACTCCCATCGTGCGCCGGGGCAGTGACGCCTGCGCACTGCGCGCCGGTTGCCCATGCGGCCCTAGGGCTGGGAGCGCGGCGCCGCTCCACTGCGGGGGAGGCCATGGCGGAACCTTCCCAGGCCCCAAACCCGGCCCCGGCAGCGCAGCCCCGGCCCCTTCAGTCCCCGGCCCCGGCCCCAACTGCGACTCCTGCGCCCAGTCCAGCTTCAGCACCCACTCCGGCTCCTACTCCGGCACCAGCTCCTGCCCCAGCTGCAGCCCCAGCCGGGAGCACAGGGACTGGGGGGGCCGGGGTAGGAAGTGGGGGGGATCCGGCTCGACCTGGCCTGAGCCAGCAGCAGCGCGCTAGCCAGAGGAAGGCGCAAGTCCGGGGGCTGCCGCGTGCCAAGAAGCTTGAGAAACTAGGGGTCTTCTCAGCTTGCAAGGTGGGGGCGGGGCCTAGTGCGAAAGGGGCGGGGCTTGGGGCATCCAAGGACTGGGGTGGGAATGGGGGCGAAGCTCTAGCCGGAGAGCTGCTCCTGCGCTTGGGGTACAGCATCAGCTGACTGATCCTTCCGCCTCCAGGCCAATGAAACCTGCAAGTGTAATGGTTGGAAAAACCCCAAGCCCCCCACTGCACCCCGCATGGACCTTCAGCAACCAGCTGCCAACCTGAGCGAGTTGTGCCGTAGCTGTGAGCACCCCTTGGGTAAGGCAGCCACTATCTTTGGAGCTGGGGCGGAGGGCAGGAACCAGGTCCTGTTTGAACAGGGTGACATAAGTACCACAAAGCTTCCTAGAGAAACCAGAGATTTTCTAAGGAAAAATTGGGTAGAGAATAAATGTGAATGTCTCATGAAAGGAAAAAAAAAAAGAAAGAAAGAAATCTGCCTTCCCAGAAAAAGCAGGGAGCTACCAAGGGCTGATGGGAGAACTGAGAACCTGGGTCTCCCTGTCTGTCAAGAATTGGAGTGCCGGGCGGTGGTGGCGCACGCCTGTAATCCCAGCACTTGGGAGGCAGAGGCAGGCAGGCAGATTTCTGAGTTCAAGGACAGCCAGGGCTACACAGAGAAACCTTGTCTCGAAAAACCAAAAAAAAAAAAAGAGAGAGAATTGGAGAATCAAAGGTGTGTCTCAGGTAGTTAGGAGGAGGTACAGGAATCAAGCCCCGTGGGGCTCGTCTGTTCTTCTCAACCCTAATGTAACCGTCTTGCAGCGGACCATGTGTCCCACCTGGAGAACGTGTCAGAGGATGAAATTAACCGGCTCTTGGGAATGGTAGTAGATGTAGAAAATCTGTTCATGTCTGTTCACAAGGAAGAGGACACGGACACCAAACAGGTCTATTTCTACCTCTTCAAGGTGAGCTTTCACGGAGTAAAGATGGCAAAGCTTTGGTGCGAGTTGGGGATCTTGCTCTCTGAGCTCTGCTACCCCTATTTCTCTCCATCCCTCTTCCTTACAGCTCCTGAGGAAATGCATCCTGCAGATGACACGGCCAGTGGTGGAGGGGTCCCTAGGCAGCCCCCCATTTGAGAAGCCTAACATTGAGCAGGTAGGACAGGCATGTAGCAGGATTAAAGGCGACTTAAGAGGGAGGAGAGTCTGTTTTACTTCCTCAAGCTGAGACCAGGAGAGAGGTTGGAGGAAGGGAGGGACATGGTGTTTGCTGACCTTGGGGTGGATGTGGAAGTTGGAAGGGTCAGAGGTTCTCTCTTCAGAGTCCCTCCTGTTTGAGATGCCTCTGCTGGCTGTTCACACCTCCTCCTGATTTTTGTCTCCTCCTTACTCCTCAGGGTGTACTAAACTTTGTGCAGTACAAATTTAGCCACCTGGCCCCCCGAGAGCGGCAGACAATGTTTGAGCTCTCAAAGATGTTCCTGCTCTGCCTTAACTACTGGAAACTGGAGACACCTGCTCAGTTCCGGCAGCGATCCCAGTCTGAGGATGTCGCTACCTACAAGGTCAATTATACCAGGTAAGCCCAGGCAGAGCCTCACAGGGGACGCTTGGACAGCCAGTCTAGTGGTCCCCACCCTCACTACCTCTCCACCTCTCCCAGATGGCTCTGTTACTGCCACGTGCCCCAGAGCTGCGACAGCCTCCCCCGATATGAGACCACCCACGTGTTTGGCCGAAGCCTTCTGCGGTCCATTTTCACTGTCACACGCCGGCAGCTACTGGAGAAATTTCGGGTGGAGAAGGACAAACTGGTGCCCGAGAAGAGAACTCTCATCCTCACTCACTTCCCCAAGTAAGGCTCGGTCTGGCCTGTTGGGATTTTGCCCCAAATTCATGTCCTTGCTGTTGTCCCCTTTTTTCCAGGAAGGCTTCCTGGATTGGTCCCTCCTCTCCCTCCATGGGCCTTCTGGGATCTGGGTGTCTACCTGGCAGATTTGCCCATGGCCCAGAAGCTACTTGCTAGTATGTGCTAGTCTGGGGATGGCAGGTACATGGCCCAAGCTAACGCTACCCCCTTTCAATTCCCTGATAGATAGAGTGTTACTAATAGTTTCCTATGGGCACCTGGATACAGCTTCAGAGCCCCTCCTACCACAGTGCTCTGAGAAGTCAGAGTTTACTTTTGAGGTGAAGTCGTTACCCATCTCTGTGCTCGTCCTTTCTCTATACATTTGCCTCTGTTGTGCCACAGCTTCTTCCCATTTGACTCTGGGAACAAGCATGTGGGAGCAAGGGGTGGCAAGATTGGGTCATTCTAGACCAATTTGATAAAGAGGGGACTAAGGCAATTCAGGTGACTGGGTGCCCTGCCCAGCCACACGGCATAGGATGGCATTAGCTCAGACCCATTCTCCTTGGCCATATATCATGACAAAATTGGGTCTCTAATCTCGATCCTGGTTGTGTCCTATCCTGAGCAGGAGGGGACCTGATCCCCACTCAACAGACTGAGCTTTCTCAGACAGCAGAAGCTGCCATCTCCTCCCACCCACTGAGAACAGGCTCTGTTTGTCTGGCTTGTCAATCCCTCTGGGGTCTGGCCCAGGCTACTTCTAATTGAAGGCTGGAGTCGTGGGACAGTTGTACTCTTCCTACAGGTTCCTGTCCATGCTTGAGGAAGAGATCTACGGGGCAAATTCTCCCATCTGGGAGTCGGGCTTCACCATGCCACCTTCGGAGGGAACACAGCTGGTGCCCCGGCCAGGTAAGTGGCACAATAGTTCTACAGGGTCTGCTTAGGCCTGCTGCCTCTGGCATGGCAGTGGTGGGGTATGGTAGCAGTGGGAAGATACCTTGGGGCTCAGATACGGCTGAGAGGGCCTGGATGCTTCTGAAGGCCTGGCCACGCCCTCTATGCCACACCCTCTGCGCCATGCCCTCCACTCCCTGTCCTTGATTTCTTTTCTCTTGCAGCCACAGTCAGTGCAACAGTTGTACCCAGCACCCCCATCTTCAGTCCTTCCATGGGTGGAGGCAGCAACAGCTCCCTGAGCCTAGATTCCACAGGGGCTGAGCCCATGCCAGGTGGGTACTTGACCACTGACCACTGGCCCACAGTCACCCTTCCCTCCACGGTTCCTGCTTTCCCAGGGTGATCCTGTCTCCCTCCCCAGCAGGAGAGAAGAGGAAGCTTCCAGAGAACCTGACCCTGGAGGATGCTAAGCGGCTCCGAGTGATGGGCGACATTCCCATGGAGCTGGTCAACGAGGTCATGCTGACTATCACTGACCCCGCTGCCATGCTGGGGCCTGAGGTAGGCAGCCCAACCTGCCAACGTGTGGGGGAAGGGATCCCCACATCCCTGAGGCCCTTGCTTAACACCCTTCTTCTGTCTAGACGAGCCTGCTTTCAGCCAATGCAGCTCGAGATGAAACGGCTCGCCTGGAAGAGCGTCGAGGGATCATCGAATTCCACGTCATTGGC